GAGGATGAACGTCAAAGAAAAACGCACTCAGATCTAGCAAGGGGGAATTACCTGAAGAGCGGCTGCCAGGGCAGCGCTGGTCGCCTCAGAAGACGAACGGCTGGGCAGCTCTAGGCCAGCCTTGAGGGCCATCTCCCTCCAAAGCTCTTCCGCCGGGCGGCTCAATGGCAAGGAGCCGGCATCTTCAAGCAGGGGCCCGGTGGAGACTGCCTCGCGGCCCCTCTTTTGTTTCTTTTCGGGGACCTTCTCCGTCCCCTTTTGAGGAGCCGCCTTCGACGGGACGGCCGGCGGTGGAAGGGCAGCTTCAAGAGCAGGGGCCCCGGAACCCTGAGCCAGCATAGTGGCAATCAGGTGCTGCTCACCCTCGGCGGTTCGCCGGGCAGCGTCAGAAGCCGAGGAGTTGGACTCCGGGGCGGGGGCATTCTTGGCTTTCGCCAGTGCGGCTTTAGCAGCGGCCGCTTTGGCCTTCCTTGTCTTCAAACACTCGGCGTGATTCATCTGGTCTCGATCTGGCGGAGAACCTGCAAGAAACAACAACGATTAGAAGACGAGCGGGAAGTAGAATAAGACACTCACCCCGAAGGGCAGGACCGCCCGGTGCCCCGAGACGAGCGTCGAAGGGTAGAAAAGTCCAGGGACACGGGCGGTACCTATGCCTGCCCTGGAGAGTGCCTCGAAGGTCAGATACCCGGCTATGGGACGGACGCCACCCTCCAACACCTTCTCCGCATCCAAAAGCAGATCGTCGGTCGGCTCCGGTGACTCAATCTTTGGGGGATACCCATTCCACCGGAGAGGGAGAGGAGGCCCGTCGTATCGAAGGAAGAAGAAGCGGTTCTTCCTGTCGTGGATGGACGAGGGGTAGCTCTTGAACAGCCGCCTCCCAGGACGTGCGGCCACGCTCAGATACCCGTCGGCATTCTGGGGAGTGACGCGGTAGAAATAGTGGAAGAGCTCCAGAGTGGCATCGACCCCCGCAAGTTTGCAGCGCACCAAGAAGGCCGATATGAATCTATAAGAATTTGGCATGAATTGCGCCGGGGCCACCTGGAAACAGTGGAAGAACTCCACATAGAACGCATGAAGTGGAAACCGCAGCCCGGCTTCAACGGAATCCAGGTGAAGCATGATCATCCCCGGACGTCTCCTCATCACATGCTCAGCGCCTCTCACACTCCAGACGAACGGTGGAGGAAGGAAGGTACGGATCTTATTGAGGGCCACGCGGGAGAGGACTTGGTCGTGGTCAAGGGCGCTCCTGATCGGGCAGATGTGGCGCTCCATATCCGTGGGGATGCCCAGATCGTACACCTCCATATCAGAACCGGATTCGGCTTCCTCTCCAGAATCATAATCAGCAGGACGCTCATTCAGGGGGACCGCATCAATAACGTCCACTGCCTCATCGGCATCCCCACCCCTGGCGCTGCTCCCACTACCTTGGGAAGCCCCACCCCTGGCGCTGCTCCCACTACCTTGGGAAGCACCACCCGGCTCACCATCAGCCCGGATGGTTCCCACCGTCGTGGCCGAACCCGAGTTTCCAGAAACACTAGTTTTGCCCAGGGAGCGTGCATTCGCATTTTCAGAAGAGGAGCCCGAGGAGGAACCCGACGAACTGGAATCAGAACTTGAGGAGATCTCCATCGAAGTCATTCCGACTAGAAATCAGAGTAAAGAAAAGAAGCAAAGGGGGGAAATTACCTTACAAAGGGGTTAGCCGAATTCAGGAGACTTGAAGAGCTGCGGAAGATCGAGAGCAAGAGAGCAGAAATTGGGAACCCTAATTCAGAGGGAAAACCCAGCATTTATAGGAGAAACACCGATGGAGAAACCAACGAGGGACTGACACGTGGCAAGGAGCGTATTCCGGCCCACGCGCTGTGCGTGGGATGGGAACGTAATGATGACACTTCCTCGGGAAAATGCGCCGCCGCAACATCAGCCGTCACCTCGTTTCCTGAACCGTCAACAGCTGTCAAGCACCAGGACCACGAACGTACGCTTCCACCAGGTGCAATAAACACAAGTACCAAGATACGGACGTCTGCTTCGGGGAGGTTCATACTTCCTTATGTCCTGCGCATGCTCAGAACATCAGAAGTGGGGGACTTGTGTTGGGTTAAGGGCCCAAGCCGAGGTCCGGCCCACTAACCCATTTTGCCAGACGAACGTCCAGTTAGAACACTAGGCCAGCCCACAGGCCCATATTCCTTGAGGATGGACGAACGTCTGGTGTTGGGGGGCTCAGGCCCAGCAGCTCATCCCGACGAACGTCTATGCAGGGACAAGGAGCAGAACCACGGGCCACCAGGGATGGCGACGAACGTCCCCAGAGCAAGCCTGTAGTCATCGGAGGAAACCCAGTCCACATGGTGAGTATCTATCAAGGCCAGGAGACGAACAGCCGGTATCACCTGAGGGTCACTTGGAGCAATCCAACTCACTTCCTGGGTGGACGAACGTCCCCACTGATCCGGCGGGAAACCTAGATTCTGGCGGGAAGTGCATTTAATGCTAAAGATTGGGTAGTTGGGACACCAGCGGTCCACAGGCTGCCACGTCACTACAGCCACCTGCCCATTGGCGGGTATAAATAGAAGCATTTATTTCATTGTAAAGGGTTGGCAATTTTCTATTCTTAGCATACTAGCTTCAGCATTCTTACTCGCAGCATTTTTGACTGCCTTGTAAGACGAACGGCCGACGTGCCCTTTTTAGCAAGTAGATTGTACTTAGGGGAGTTATTACGGAGTTAATAATACCTATTTACATTGCCTGCTATTACTCTTGTTTCCTGATCCATCTGATAGTTGTTGGGCTAGACATTCATACACTCACTCCACTCGAAACCTTTGGGCTTACGTGTTGGGTCCAAGGGTTGAAGGAATAAACCTCAACACCAATATTACTAATTATAAGAGATTAGACAAATATAAGACCTCTTTCTAATTTTTCCAAAAATGAGATTACCGTGTGACCATTTAGTAAGTTAATAGGATCAAAATATCAAAAATATCCCTCGTTGATTAATACTCCGTACTCTATATACAATAACTACATACTACTCGTATGTACTACGTATATACTTCCTCTGTTCTTAAATAAATGCAACGGTCAACATTTCACATTTGTCGAGTCACAACTTTGACCATTAATATATATAACTCTCTATTAATATATATTTTTTTAAAAAATCAGATTTTGAAAATATACAATGAGAGAAATTTAGTAATATTTTTTTCAAAAAGAATATCTTAATGCATCAATGAATAAAATGTAGTCAAAATAGAACGCGTGAATAGTGTAAAATTCAACAGGTTGCATTTATTTAAGAACAAAGGTAGTATCATTCTAAAATCATAATCCGTAATGAATACATATGTACTAAATTCCAATTTTTCTAAAATCATACTCCGCAATGAATACGTATGTACTAAATTGCCATTGCCATTTCTTAGCTCTTTAAAATGTTACAACCATTTTCAAGGTGAAAAAAAGTTTTATGATTTTTTTTGTTTCCGGAATTATGGTTATCCGGTTACACGTCCAACTACTTATAGTTATCCGCCCGACACCTGTACTATTAGAGTTATCCGTCGCCAATTACAATTAGTCGATCGATTATAGTTATTCGACATGTTAGTTACAGGTACCCAATACGATCAATTACAGTTACTTAACCCGTCAGTTACAGTTATCTGATTAGTTACATTTATTCGACCCGTCCAGTTACAGTTACCTGACCCGTCCTGTCACTGTTAGAGTTACCTGACCCGTCCAGTTACAGTTACCCGACCCGTCCAATTACAGTTACCCGACTCGTCCAGTTACAGTTACCGATTCGTCCAATTACAGTTACTCGGCCCGTCGAGTTACAGTTACCCGACCCGTCCAGTTACAGTTATCCGATTCGTACAGTTACAGTTATCTGATCCATCTAGTTACAGTTACCGACCTGTCCGGTTATTGTTATCCGAACGTAACCGTTACAGTTACCCACACTGACCGTTTACAATTAACTCTAACCAGTTACCCCCGAGTGGACCGGTTATAATTACCTTGTCCAATATATAGTAACCACCACCGAAAACTACCGCCGGAAACCACCACCGTTTACCACCACCCGGCTGCCGGCCACCAACCCCAGCCCATCTCCAACACCAGCCCCCTGCCCCCTTTCCAACCTATCCCAGGTCCCCTCTCCCGCCTACCCCAGCCTCACTGCCACCGCTGAGGCCTGCTACCTTGGCCACCACCACCGCCCCCAGCCTTCTCTGCTTGTTCCCAACCTTCTCCGCCAACTCCCCAACCCACATCCCTTACCCAGCCGTCGCCGCCTATTCATCAAATTGGAGGGCGTCCATGGATCTGGGTTCAATTCTGCTTTGTCGATGGAGCAACTGTCGCCGGTCTTCTTCATCAAAGTCGGATATCTTCGTCAAGAAGAGAGGAACGTTGCAGATCGAAGTAAAGCTTCACCACCACCGCCGGCGGAGAATAAAATCATCGAAGAGGAAACTGCATTGCAGGTCGGAGAAGAACGTCACTGTTTTTAGTGGAGAAGAAAGCATCGAAGAAGAGGGAGGTTTCAATTTGAAAAAGAGAATGCAAGCTTCAATGGAGAACAAACTCACTCACAGAAGAAGAAGAAAAAGATGCGCTTGTTCTGTTGGAGAAGAAAGTACGGAGTAGGTATCAACTAGAGAGGGCATTTGTGACATTTCGGATGAGCTTTAGTCCCATATATGTCCGGATAGAAATTAGTATCAAACTTGTCCACCCTAAAGCTAGCGCTCATACTTCCGTCATTATTTCTATTATGAGACTAAAATTAAAGTAATACTCTCTCCTTCTCACTAAAAGTAATACTTTTAGTTTATATGGTTTTTAATTCAAAAGCATCATAAATTGAGTGATGGGACGATGCTCCGGTGAGAAAATCCTGGAGACCGGAATATTTGTGTACGTCCATGGGTGATGTATATACATATATGCAGGCCAACATTCTACAAGATGTACAAGAAGAGATCGACGGAAGGATATCAATCAATTCCATATGTGGTTGGACTGTTCAGTGCGTTGCTTTGGATATACTATGCTTTAGTGAAAGCCCATAACACCACCCTTCTTATTACCATCAACGCCTTCGGCTGCTTCATCGAGACCATTTACATTGCTTTCTTCCTCGTCTACTCAACACATAACACCAGGGTACGTACCTACATACGTATATTCTTATACACAAATCATTCATTTTTCTAAAATATGATTTATCAAATAAGTCATATTTTAAAAATAAAACATACTTACTCCTATTTGTACTACGTACATTCTATGCATGGTGGGTGCAGATGCATACGACCAAGGTTCTTGTTTTGTTTGTGGGTGGCGGGTCAGCCGCAATTGTTGGGGTAACTCAATACCTGTTTAAAGGCGCGATTCGGGTGGAAGTTGTGGGATGGATTTGCCTTGTCTTTGCGTTGTGTGTCTTCGTTGCACCGCTTGGCATTCTCGTAAGTCCTAACCTTACCTTACTCTACCCCTCTTCAAATTGATTTTTTTCGGTCAATAGTAGCCAACTTTAGTCATTGGTATTTTTCAATACGAAGAATTATATATAGTGAATATGAAGATTATGTTAATTAAAATGTTCCTCATTGCAAATATTTTCATAAAAGTATAAAATTTATATATTATGCATGTGTAAATATTATATTATAATTAAAATCATGCATTCACTAATTAAGTGTTCTTGCATGCAGAGGCAAGTTATTAAAACGAAGAGTGTGGAAAACATGCCTTTGCTCCTCTCAGTTTTCCTCACCTTGAGTGCAGTGATCTGGTTCTTTTACGGCTTCTTCCAAAAAGACATGAACATTACCGTAAGTCCGATCCATCATTTACTTACGGATTATATATATAATCGAGTATCATTCTTTAAGTTCATTCAAACCCACCATTCACGGACTTCACGTTCATTTCTATTTAAATTATCGCGCGTCAGGTAAATTGTACTCCGTAGTCAATTCACGTGTTTTAAAATAAGTGCAACATACATAATTTTACACTATTCACGTGTTCTATTTTGACTACATTTTATTCATTGATGCATTAAGATATTCTTTTTGAAAAAAATATTACTAAATTTCTCTCATTGTATATTTTCAAAATCTGATTTTTTTAAAAAATATATATTAACAGAGAGTTATATATATATTAATGGTCAAAGTTGTGACTCGACAAATGTGAAATGTTGACCGTTGCATTTATTTAAGAATGGAGGAAATATATACTATCGTACCATTTTATATGTCTTATTTTAGCTTGACACATTTATTAACATGTTGATCGAAAAAATAAAAATTGTAGTTGAGATTCAAGTAAAAAAACAAAATTTTGAGATACAATCCACCATGCCCTAATATGACATTACATCTTTTTTTTTAGCAATGCCAGATTTATTAGAGAATGATCACGAAACAGATGAAGAGGGGGACTGTACCAAAACCTCTTCAAGAAGGCATACCTTCTTCAAGTACACCAGAAAAACACCAATTAAATCAAACAATGAAAGCAAGGAATGCAAAGAAATCTAAACGGAAAGCATTTTTAGCAAAACAAGATAACGGAAAACGTGCACTTTATATATACGAGAGTATATCAGAAAATGAACTACGGAGTAAAAAATAGACATAGCGCCCAAATTGGATTCCGATCCCATTGTTTTGTTCTTAATTAGGGAATTGAAGTTTTGTACTATATATATGTACTAGAACGAAATTAGGAATAAAACACAGTTACATGCATACTCTTAATTACTAGTGCATTTTACCCGACCAAGTTTTCATCCTATATATATACCATGCATACTTAGAGCTAGCTAGCAAATTAACTTAACTTGGTGATGTATAAACATGCACAGGTGCCAAATGTATTGGGCTTCTTCTTTGGAATCGTTCAAATAGGAGTGTACGTGATGTACAAGGACAAGAAGAAGGAGATGGCAACAAAGGATGAAGTGGGAAAACCCCAACCCGCCGCAGTCATAATCCTGGAAGCTGATGATGAGAATAACTGCAGCAGCAGGCGAAAACAGGTCGTTCTCCGTGAGCTGAGTGAGGAACAAATAATCGACATCGTCAAACTCATTCAGAAAAGCGCAGCCGATCATTTGCAGCTGCAGCCTGCTGCTGCACCAAATGCCGCTGCTCCTAGACTTCAGTCTGTAGAGACCTAGCTTAGCTTAATTGATCATCGACCATATATATGCATGTACCATACACTCGATCATATATACTACGTACGTATCCTATAATTACATATCATGAATTGAACCTAAACTCGCTATATGTAATATGCCTATATTATATTGTTCACATCACATCATTATATATAAATATGGAATGTGTTGACAATTTTTAGTTTGGCTGGTATTATTATGTACGTAACATGCACGTCTTCCCTTACATTATACATCGGATTTGGTATATATATGTGTAATAATGTGGGATGCATTAAGTGTTGGAACATAATGTTTTGTTGATGACAAACAACTAGTGTTACTTTATTTTATAAAAAAAAAAACTAGTGTTACTTTTGAGCAAAAAGTGATTGCACGAAAGGAAGTTAAGTCGTGATTTGGAACAAGACGTAGACCTGAACCTAGAACTGCCTGGCAGATCCAAAAATGAATATACTGATTTACTTACAAATATCTTTTCTCTCTATTCAAGTTCGGTTTTGTCTTACTAAATTAAAGAGAATTTTTTAGTAAGGAAATAATCAATGATCATACAAAGAAAGAAGTTTTTCTTTACAGGAAACTTATTTAAATCAAATGCATTAATTAAGAGATCTTTCTACAAAGCAATTTTCAAAATTAAAAGGTGTTATTCAAAATTCAAATTGGATTTCAATTCGTGCATCTCCTCTCAAGGAAACATTTTTTTAATAATTTTTATGCAAGTTGGACCGAAATATATATGGAGATCCGAACTCATTAAGGATAACACATCAAACCTTGATCTATCACATTTAAGAGAACCGTGCTCAAAAGGAAAGAATCCATCCTCAAAGAAACAAATACGACAAAGGAGAGTTTGGCCTAAAAGCAAAGCTTTTAAATGTCGTAATGTGCTCCTAGACATCCCTATATATGACTAGGCTCGTGCATGGAGATGAGTACTGTACTTGAACTGAGAAGAAAATACTCAAATAAGAAGAGTTATACAACATGTCATAAAAGACCGCGTATATGCGACAATTCCATTATCAGTTCTATCATTTGTAATTACATTTCTTCTATTGTATTGAGGGTTAAGAGGAACATTTGATTATACTTTCTTCCGAGGGTTGGGGTGTGAAGTGAGAGTTTTGTTGTAAAGCTAGAGACTCCTTACCCACAAGGTAAGGTAGTGAGAACTCTACCTATAGAGGTTGAATTTGGGGTGGCTCAAGGGTAAACTAGGAGAATTTATCTTGTGACTTGTTTTAAGGCTTTTAGTGAAGAGTTTTTCAAATTACTCCGAGGGAGGTCAAGATTTTTTAATCCTTGTTGAGACAAGAGATTTTTCCTCGTTAAATCTTTGTGTCCTTTTATTTCTGTTTTCCCTTTGTCCCGCACTAGCACAAGTTAGTTTGGAAGGACGGTTTTGTTACTCCTTCAGCGGTTGTGTAGCTGGCTTCATTAACTCTAAGCGGGTGGAGGGAGGCCTAATTAGAGTTGGGGGAAGGCTGAAAGAAGCTCATGAGCAGAGGCATGAGAAGTGGCAGTGACCGGAACATGGATGGGTGAAGATTAACGCTGATGTCGTGGTTAATATTAGTGGGGGGGGGGGGGGGGGGTCGTGTTTGGGGATGAGTGGCCCGGGATAGCGAGGGAGTTTTCCTAGGAGGGCTTAACCTAATCAAAGGCTGAACGGGTCATTGGAGGAATCAGAAGTTGTTGGTATTTTAGAGGCAATCAAAGGAGCTGCTCAAAGGGGATGGCGAAGAGTGGTGATGGAATTAATCTGACGCTCTACTATTATTATTGATAACATTATTATTATCAATAATAGTATTATTCGCAAAGAAGGGCGACCTACTTTGATAATATTAGAAGTACACTTGAAATAGTAAACTTCTATTTAGTGCGGGACAAAGTTTTCCCTTTGTCCCGCCCTAGAACTCGGCGAAAAACTGTCGTAGTTCTACGCACACATAATTAATTCACCTCCCCTCTTTTTTTATTCAAACCGGTTTATCAATTTGTATCAGAGCCGGTCTTTACCACATAGAGGGTAAAACCTTGGGAAGAGATCCGGCAAAATGAACACAGTTGACCGTCTTGAATTGAAGAAGGTTACTCGACCCCAACAACCTCCACCGTTCAATGGCAAGTTCTATCAATTCTAGAAAAGCCGAATGGAGAATTTTATCAAGGCAAAAAACTATCAGGTATGGAACATTATTGAGGAAGGTGATAATGCTATCACAAAGGTACTATTGTTCCTGAACTGAAGTGTGAATATACTTCTAATGATTATTTAAAACTCGAGCATAATGCCCAAACTCTTAAGTATTTGATTTGTGGACTTGGTCTTGCTGAACACAATCGGGTTCTAGGATGCAAGTCTGTCAAACAAATGTGGAATTTGCTCGAGATTACTCATGAAGGTACTTTCCGTGTAAAAAGATCCAAAATTGACATATTTATGCAGAATTATGAACTTTTCGTAATTAAGCCTAAAGAGTCAATTAGGGATATGATTACACGGTTTACTAATATCATTAATGAACTTTCATCCTTGGGAAAAGAAATATCAGTTGAAGATCAAGTGAGAAAAGTGATGAGAAGCTTGCCATCTACATGGAAGCCAAAAACCAAGGCAATAAAAGAGGCCAAGATCTATCAAACCCTAACTATAGAGGACTTGACGGGCTCACTCATGACGTATGAGTTAGGATTACAAGAGGAACAAGATGCTGAAAATGTTAGAAAAGAAAGAGGCATTGCTCTCAAGGCACGAGAAGAAGAAGAAGAGGAATCTGAGAGCGAATATGAAAATGAAATGAGCATGTTTGCTAAGCAACTTGGAAAAGTGTACGGACTGTTCAAGAACAACAGAAACAAACAAGGTAAGAAAAGCTTTAATTTAAATTTTTTGATAACCAAGGTTGCTTTGTTTGTGGATCATTTGAGCATTAGGCAAAAGACTGTCCGCGAAAGAAGAATGACAGAACCCAGGAAAGGAACAAGACGAGTTCTACTTGACGGTTCAACAAAGATAAAAGTTTCAATAAAGATTTGAAAAAAGCAATGATGGCTGCTTAGGGAGACTTGTTAGATGATGATGGGAATGAAAGCGATTAGGAGTCTAAATCAGGCTGGGATATGTCTCATGGTCCACTCCGATGCGGAATCCGACCAAGAGAACTTTGAGGTGAATCTAGAAACATTTATTTCTAAATTTGATTCACTACCCAAAACCAAGGTTCGGAATATTTTCAAAAGACTAACTATCGAGCTTAATCAAAATCTTTCTGAAAACGAGAAACTAAAATCACAAATCACTGAGCTGGAATCTAAACTCGAGAAAACCAAACGAGAAAAGCTAAGGCTTGAGACTAAAGTGAGAGAGTTAATAGATGAGAAGCTTAAATACAGTGAAGTGGTTTTAGAACAAGACAATATTATTTGTTTCGCTAAATCTCGATAGTATGAATAAACAAGTTGATCAAAGTGAGAAGCTTCTCTAAAAAATTCCGAACATTGGTGTGTTGATTAACCATCTTAATCGAATCACATTGAGGCTGAGAGACAAAATTTTAAAAATAAACCGGAATATCACCCTACAGTGCCAAGAACAGAACCAGATCTAGACCTTATTATAGAACTCGACCCTCTCAATATAATAATAAAGACTTTTCAAATGTTGAATTTTGCAGCATTATATATCATTTAGCTACTTCGTTAGGAGATGGCATTCCAGTAGGTCGTAGGTGTTTTGCATCCTGCTGTCTAGCGAGTAAACTTTAGTGCTTCGTGCTTGTGGTCTATTTTTGAAAACAAAAAAAAAATCTTACCTAGTCTATTTTTGAAGACAATTTGCATAGGTGAAAAAATCTTACCTAGTCTGTTTGTGAAAAAAATCCTAATTTAATGGACTGTTTTCAAACACATCCACCACTAGTTCATTCATATTTACAACTCTTGAGCCTAATAAAAATGGTTTGTGCTCCATTTCTTTTGATTCTTCTCTAAATCATTTTCATGACATAATTGTTTAAGCAATATTTTGATAAGTTAAGACTAATTGAAATGAAAATTACATATAGATTGAGATTCGTACAAAAACAATACGGAGTAAGAAACACAAGTAAGCAAATAAGGATGTAATTCAGTTTGTTATTCGAATGAGAAACTAGCTGATTACAATTGATTTCACTCTATTTATAGGAGAGGTAATTAATACTTTCATAACTATTTTATCCGTTAGTCCGTTACTGACGGTTTGGTAGATGACTTGGCCCGTTGTGACGATTTCAAACCCGTCATAAAGATGACTCAACTATAATTAATACATTCCTTAATTACATTAAAGAGCATAAAACAGTACAATAATCATTATTAAGCCTTGTGAATACACAATTAACTTATACGATCAACTCTCTTAAATGGAGCATAAAGCATCAAATTCTTACGGTAACCATAGCTATCCAAGCACCTTTGTGTGTTGACAACTATAATGACAAATTATTGAAAGAAGGGGGCAATGATTTAGGAGAAGAGAGAGTGGTGGAGGACAAATGCATTATCCAAAAGCATGTTGTTATACAAAAATGTACAAACACATCCAAATGTACAAGCAGGCAGGCACCTAATAAGAACAAGTGCACACGACAAACAGAAGAAGCTAGCCCCATTGATTGATTTGCATTTGCATGCCTACCTCATCGATACTTCCAAATACAGCACCAGCCTTCATGCTCTTCCCCGCCCTTCATCTCTACTCCTCCTCTTCTTCTCCATTTTCACACCCCCGACCTTTCTGGTCGATCATCACCAACGTGGCTGCTGCAATATTTCTTTTTCGCCATTTCTTCTTCCATGGCCTCCAAGCGTTCCGTAGTTGACCTCGCCGCCGCAGAGGACCCATCTTTTAAAAGGCAATGCCATTTCACTTCTCCGGCGGGCCTCTCCCTCTCCGGCGATGAGGATTACGGTGTGGCGGCACACACCGAGTCAGCCGGTCTCCATTTGCTCGGTCTTCTGCTCCAATGCGCGGAGTGCGTCTCGGCTCATGATCTCCACAGCGCCGGCAATCTAATTCCGGAGATCTCGGAGCTATCTTCTCCGTTCGGGTCGTCTGCGGAGCGCGTTGCCGCTTACTTCGCCGAAGCACTTTCCGCGCGGATCATAAGCTCCTTTCTCGGCTCCCACCGGCCGCCGCTCACCATCGAAAACCTTACCATATCCCAATCTAAAAAGCTCTTCGCCGCCC